GGGGAGGGTGCTTTAAAAGAAAGTTTTCAATACATTTAAAGCATGTTTTAGAAGAATTATGTGAGTGTCGTCGTCTGTCTGCTAGAATGTTTTTGTCTCTGAGCCCGTGTTGGCGGACTGTGTCAAAACAGTTCGCTTCCTAAACGATCTAAATTGTTTCGATGCCTACGTAAAACATCTATAATCGTAATAACAATGTTAATTTGGAACAATGCATTGTACATCTGTGATAGCGTGACATGTATAAATCATCGTTGCTGTAGTGTTTCTATATTTTTCTCTTAATTTCTTCCTCTCTTCTCCTACCAAAGAATCTAATCTTTTATTTGAAATTATGTGTGGTATTATTGTCCTTTATCCTAAACTGTATCAAACATATTCAAAACTAGTCACAATAAATGAAAATTGACACTCAGAATATTAATATAATAAACCGACTCTCGTAATTTTCTTCTATAAATGACACTAAGAAAACAAAGAAACTGACTTTAAAATTTGAAAAAATTATCAATCATACGTGGAAACTAACGCTATCAAATATATTTTAAAAAACTGACAGCCAATTTATTTTTTCTACTTTGACTCAGAAGACAAACTTTATAACACTCTGAATAAAAGAGATAACTGAGTCACAAATTAGACTTCAAACAACTGACACAATATAATAATGAAAATAATATATTTCTTAAAAACTGACTTTCAGAAGAAAAACGTACCCACCTAGCGTGTTTTCTTAACCACATCCCGTTCTGTTGACAGATCGAACCCCGGAACAAGAGACTCCTGACCCCACAGATGAACCACATCTCCATGATGCTCCCACCCGCCCCCGCCCTCACACAGATGGGAGACATTCCAAAGGTCTGTTCAGTTGTCGTCTGTTTGGGTTGAGATGAGAATAATCACGTCACGCTAATAGGATAATTGCGTAAGTCATTTCCAGCCGGTTTGGAGTTGTTGGTTCTGAATTGAAGAGCAGAGCCAGCTTGGTAATAATCGACTTGGACAAAAGAAACATCCCAATATAAAATTAACTGAGAGTACCAAAGTTCAAGCTTTTCACAGAGTCAACTGTTCTAAAGAAACAGTTTTATTCTCACTTTCTCAAAATGGCTAAAAATGACTTAGGCATTAATTGTTTTATGAGCGTGGCGATAATTACTACACCTGGATACCTGGAGGTGTCATCCCTGGCTCAGAGGTTGACGTGTAATGATGACCCAACAGTACTTACGGTCGCTAGCTGCCGTTTTACACTATGTCATACTTAAGCCAGTTCATGCCTTGATGTTATCGGTCCACATTGTTCTTTGCCCACCCTGTGATTGTTGTAGTTAGCATATTATTACGCTCTCGCCCATACAAGCAGTAAGCTGTGGGCGTTTTGCATCTGATTGCCTGATTACTCTCTCTCTCTCTCTCTCTCTCTCTCT